CAGGTATCCTGTCAACAGTTTTACAGATGTCTCTTTTATAATTGTGGGCTATGGGGAAAATGCTATTTGTGCTGCAGGGGATTTTTTTTAGCTGCGATACTGCAAGTGACCACTGGGAAAAATTGGCTGCAAGGCTGAGCAGCATTCCGGGGGGCCAGCTTAGGCTACACTCTGCTGTTGGATTATCGTTTTCTCGTTAGCTGTGAGACAGATCAACGAAGCTTACATCAGGGCAATATAGACAGTTTGCAACCCCGCATTAGTTTGCTCAATTACAAAGTATAATTCATGTATTGCTTATGGCTGAATTGATATTAGTTGGATTTTTCACCTCTGCCATGATGTTCACACTGATAATACTGAGCTAGCCTCTTATAGTTAGGTGGCGATATGTGACATAAGCCCTACTCCTGGGACATCCTATTCGCTCTCCAAAGTTACACAGTGTGAGAACAGGTGTTCAGGGTACAGAGTGGCAATGTGAAAGGTGCCATCCTACCTATTACAAGTCAGTGTACCATCAAAATTGTTTTGAAGCTGTTATTTTCAGGTAAAAAAAATTGCCAGTGAAAAATAGAATTGCGATAGTCAAAACGGCAGGAAATAAAAGCATTAATTATCATCTCCAACTCAGCTTCAGACACAATGGGCCTGAGTTTATTACAGATGTGAATCAAAAGTGGAAGGCAGTGGTGATGCATCACTCATCTTTATATTGCCTCAGGTAACAAGAAAATACATGAACAGCTGTTCAACATTTTCCATTTTGTGTAAAGAATTGGCGTAAACTGTAGGAGTGAGATGGGGACATGTGATTTTATAATCTCAGGTAATTTCAGGGTGAGAAAATAGCTAAAACCAGCAGTGTTAATACAAAGAGGGGAAAACAGTAGAGGAAGGAAGGATGAGGCCCAGGAGATGAGAGAGGTATCTGTTCATTTTGAGTTGCACTGCCCTTCAGTGTCCCTCATCCACTAGCCTTTCAATGCCTCCACCCTGGAGACTTGTACTGACGCTGTGTGCGTGTGTGTGTGAGACGATAAAGCAAACCCACGCTGAGCTGTGCCACAATCAACCACAATCAGAACTTGCAATGCATATGCACCCTGTTTCTGTACAGCACAATGGCATGGTTACAGGCAATGTTTACCTTGATTGGAGGTGTACGTCATCACACACTCTGGAGGGCACTTGTTATCTGTAGTAGGGATGCCAGGTCTGTGTGACAAGACCAGTGGCCAAACCAGCGGCAGTAGCTCAGTCCATAGGGACTTGGGTTGGGAACCGGAGGGTCGCCTGTTCGAGTCCCCATCCGGACCAAATATGGAGCATGGACTGGTGGCTGGAGAGGTGCCAGTTCACCTCCTGCCAAGGCCCTTGAGCAAGGCACCAAACCCCCCAACCGCTTGGGGCACCTGACCAAAGCAGCCCCCTCACTCTGACATCTCTCCACTTTGTGCATGTGTGTGTATTTCGGACCTGTATGTTAATGACAACGGAGTGAAAAAATTGAATTTTTCCCTCAGGGGGATTAATAAAAGTATATAAAAAATAAAAATAAAAAATACCAGAACTCAAAATATGATCCTGCCAAACAATATGCACTGCTTTTTAGTCAAACAACATTGCTATCACTGCCAAATGTATTGCAATATCAGTGAAGTAACACCTTACATGTTTAGTGTGCCATCATAAAAGCAGTTTTCCCCTAACAATACTTTTGCCTAGGTCCTAAAATGGCCTTATATAATTAGAAACAGTATATTATCATATGAAACACCTTATCATGTTGCTTCACTATATTTTAGTCATGAACAGTAAATACATGTCTGCATAGGCTATGTATTTACTGTTAGCATTTTTGTTTCCCTTTTTCAATTGACACACCCTGTCCTGTGAATTCCCAGCAAGCTCTGAAATTATGAATTTCAATACAACACGCGACATGCTGCTAACAGTATTGTTATGCCAGTGTTGCTTGAATAAGAAAGTACAATGTCTTTGTGCTCAGTTCTGCACTGTAAAGATTTGGTGTTTAGTTGTACCACTGTGGTTGCTAAATTACTATTTTGGTTCTAAGATTGGTTTTAAGATTGTGTAGCTACCAGGGGCCTGTGGATATGTTGAGTTCCAATAACAATACTGTCAATTTGTTCAGATGACTGAATACATTCATTCATTCATTCATTCATCTAACCACTTCATCCTCGCAGGGGGCTGGAGCCTATCCCAGCTGACATCGGGCGAGAGGCAGGGTACACCCTGGACAGGTCGCAGGGCTGACACATAGAGACAAACAACCACTCACGCTCACATTCACACCTACGGACAATTTAGAGTTAGTCCCCAATCTGCATGTTTGGACTGTTTGGACATTTGGACTGTGGGAGGAAGCCGGAGTGCCTGGAGAGAACCCACGCTGACACGGGGAGAACATGCAAACTCCGCACAGAAGAGCTCCCACACCCGGGATCGAACCGGGAACCCTCTTGCTGTGAGGCGACAGTGCTAACCACCACACCACTGTGTCGCCCCAGATGACTGAATAGATAAACACAAATCTGAATAAAATAAATAAAACAAACTAACAGACAAACAATGTGCATAATACCACAAGATACCCAAAACCTAGGATAATCAAGGATTCAAATTACTGATAGTAATCACAAATTATATTTAAAACAGTCTTCAAATAGAGTAATCACATAAAACAATACTTAAGTGGCACAATTTTTTGACGATTAAAAGTGTTTTATACACATATCTGGCAGACCAACTCTTATCCCCACAAAAATAGAAAAGTTATCTTTAATGTCATTAAAAAATTGAGAGGTCCATTTTATAAACTTAACAGGTTTATTTAGCATTGTTTCACAAGACATTTTAAGACCAGTTCAGACTAAAGATTCAAGAAAAGATGATTTGAAACAGGCAATCACTTGAAATGCAGCTTTCTGCAACGTTCTAAAAACCTGCCGGTTCACACCAATGCAACTGGATGAGACGGTGTATTATCTCTATGCACCAACTCTCTGTACTTCTGTTCTGATTTGCAGCTTTTCAGGCTTATTTTGTGGCTGGCTATTGTAGAAACAACAACCTTCTAAACTCCTCCAGAACCTGGATTGTAAGTAAACAGACAAATAAGATGGGCTACTCTGAGGGTCAAATGTTAACGACTCTGTCGTTACCTCACCTCAGTCTTGAGAAACTCTCGCACCAGCCATCCTGGCGTCAAGAGGGGTAAAAAAAAAAAAAGGTCACTTGAGACCCCTCCAGGCCCCATATGTCAGTTAACATCTTAAAAGAATTCAGCTTGTGACAACATCAGCCAGATTAACGACCAGATCAGGGTCGTTGACTATGCTTTTAAATTCACCACATCCTCTCCCCTCTTATCACCCCAGGGAACCACACCATCCAATTCACAACCTGGTGAAGAGGAGAAATTGAACAGATGTGAGGATCATAAATTCAGTGTGCATTCCTGAGCAGATACCAAGTTTCTCTTGTAACCAACTTGAAATGTCTCAGTGAAACTAAACATTTTATCCATCCTTGGTTGTTAGTTAAATGATTTTTTTTTTACTCTGGTAGGTCAGAGTATAAGTGAATTATAAAGTTCATGTGTTTAATCCCTCATTTAACAGAGTCATACTGCCATCTTGTGACGATAGTTAAAGGAACTCTTACGCTGGATTTCCACTGGATGCGTGTCCGTTGCAGAACGGCAGCGCTGGTTATCCGCTGTGTGCTCCGCCGTCCGTCAATACCCACCAGCTGCGTTTGCTGTGCGGTGCGGTGCAGCTCCGCCGGAAGACATCTCGGTGCACTGCCATGATTAATATCTCCTCGTCCATGGTGTTCACGGGGTGAAATGACGTCTGAAAACCTCTGACCTGTTGACTTCAGGCCTGCCTCTGCCCATTATGTAGTTTTTAAGGTGTAGTGCAGGGAAATATGATCCGCCGTGAACACTATGTACTTTATTTTGAAAATTAACCGGATGTTTTATTGTGTTTCTGTGCACGACTTCCTGCCCCGCACGATCTGCTCTGTGCTGAATTGCTGCGTTGTGCTCCGGCGTCCGGCAAAAATAGAAGTCCTGCGTCTCTGTTGCGGAGGGCTCCGGAGTGCCGGAGCTGAGACGGAGCCAGAACGCAGCACAGCCGCAGCTGGTGGAAATACACACATTGACTAGAATGGAATCGTATCGGCTCCGCTGCCGTGCTGGAGCGCAGACGCAACCAACACGCATCTGGTGGAAATTGGCCTTTACCTTTCTTGCATTTCACACAGCACTTAGAAAAAATTTGAACACCCACAACTCCCGCCTCCCTCCAAAGTCCCATCCCCCTCCTCCTGCAACTCCACCTCCCTCCACAGGTCTACTCCCCCCTCCTCCATTACGTCCTCATTACATCTATGACAGACGTAGGCGTTGGCAAGGTAATGTTAGATACAACGTTACAATCAAGACAGTCAAACGCAACCCTGGAGTTTTAAAACTCAACCAGAGTCAGTGATGACTGATGGGTTTTAGAATAAGGTTACAGTGCTAACACTAGATAGTAGCGTTAATGCTACTAGTAAGTGGAAACGCACAAGGAAGATAACGTTAATGTTTCAGAGGCTACGCTACAGTAGGCTAACGTTGCTGTGTTGTCATAAATAACATGAACTGAACTGAACTTCTTTATTTGTCGTTTTTATGCGCAGCACAAAATTGAAATGACATTTCGCATACCCCAAGCAAAAAGAAAGAAAACATTTAAAAACAATTTGTGCAACATATAAGAAAGAACATATAATGCAATAGTAAGATGAAAAGGGTCGACATTTCACAGTCAAAAAAATCCTGAGAGCAGAACTGGGAGATCCTCTTCACATCACAGCACCATGAATTGTATACACCACGGAGCTTACCAGATGATGCAGCCTCCCTGTCTGCTCTATGTAGTGTTAGCACCGTTAGCTCAACACCAGAGTCTGATATGTTACCATTCATCCATGTCTCAGTGAACACAAGGACGCAGCAGTCCCTCACTCCTCAGTGAGTGGATCTCCACAGTCGGATGTAATCCATTTTTGTGTCCAGTAGGGTTGGGCGATAATACGATCTAAAAATAACAACAGTATCAGTTTCATTACCATCATTTAAAATTAAATTAAAAAAAATCTGCCGCACATAAAGGCCTATAGGGGCCTGATATAATGTTAAATATAATTTATTTAATGCCTAAATAATGAGTAGTTGTCCAGCACCTATGTATGTGTGGTTGCAGGGGTGGAGCAGTGATTTTAAATGTGGGGGTGTTCCAGGGGTGGCACATGAGCACCACATCCCAGGGGCGTCGCACCCGTGATATACTCCTTTATTCCTTTATTTCCTTATCCAGGTGTGTCTGACCATTGTTGTGACTAGTACTGAGGTCAGAAACACCTGGATTAATCAGTTTGTCCAATAATGTAAGACAGGAAATATAGGAGCTGGTTTAAGTTCAGGAAGTAGTGGAGCTGGGCATAAAGCCTAAGCTTTTGGTCTGAGGACCTTCGTCAGGGTAACAGTCTGCACCTGAGAAAAAGAACAGTCTTATGTGGTTGATCAAGGCGATCAGCAACACCTGTGCTGTGCCACTCCCGCTTAGATGGGAGATGTAGTTCAAAAGCAGAATGTGTAGTCCTCTCTGCACAGCAACAGATTTCGAGTACAGGAAACACTCCACTCCCAACCCTTTATTTAGGGGTATGCATAGATTCAATCTTCTATTTGTTATTCTGTGTATATATTTTTTTTCTCTGTTTTTTCTCTATTGTCTAGTTGTTATCTGCGCATGGTTCTTGTGGAGTGTTTCCTGTACTCTAAATCTATTGCTGTGCAGAGAGGACTACACACCCTGCTTTTGAACTACATCTCCCATCTAAGCAGGAGTGGCACAGCACAGGTGTTGCTGACCACCTTGATCAACCACATAAGACTGTTCTTTGTTCTCAGGTGCAGACTGTTACCCTGACGAAGGTCCTCGGACCGAAAGCTTGGTGAATTAAAGATGTTTGCATTGATCCAAGTGTGCAGATCATCTTTTTCACACTATTTCACATGTGGTTTTCTGGCACCTTGGCTTGGTCGTGAGTGTGGTGACCTGTTCCTGGTTTTAACAACCAACAACATAACATTTATCTTTATTAGATGTCAAGTAAAGTCAAGTAATGAATATCTTTCTTTTTCAGGACAACCTGGAAAATCAGAATATGTATGCTGAAAATTTCAGCATACATATTCATTCATGTGACATCATTTAATGATGTCACATGAATGGATTAAAAGTTATATGACTACAAAAACAAAAGAAAAAATTTTAAAAAATTAACCGGGAATTGAATTTCACAGAATTTTATTTTTAAAAAACACACATATCAACAGTTATCAATTTATCTTTATTTTATCATGGAGGATTATTAGGCTATTCCTTTCTTTTCAATTCTGGCAGAAAACTTTCTTGCCTCAAGTTGACCTTTGGCTGCTCCTGATTGGATGCTACCGTCAAAAAACAAAAGAAGAAGAAATAGTAGCATCTGATTGGTCGAGAGACTGACCAGAAGTCCTCATTGTTTACGTCAAGCCCATAGACTGTTTATAAAAAAGGTCAAGCCTCACAATGGAGGTCCGGTATCATAATTTACACGTTTTTAATCACAAAATGTAATATTTAATTACTATCGCGGAGTTATCACGGTGGATTTACTGTAGCCTAGGCTACGAGGTTCTTGGGAGAGAAAAAAAAAACCTCTGCACTTAACGGCTGGATTGAAAACTTTCTCAAAAAGATTGTCCTGAGCCCACCGTAGATCGCCAAAAGAGTAAGCTTCTGATCACAGTTTTCCCCATTAAGTTCCTTTGTGTGGTGTGGTGCGGGCTGCGGGGGAGAGCAGGGTCTCCGCCGACAGAGAGATGATGTTGATTTGAGGGGGCTTCTGAGAGCCGGTTTCCTCTGCATTCACTTACATGACAACTTGACTTGAAAAAGAAGTCAATTTTCTGCTGCTGCCTCTTCCTTTTTGGCACCTCTGCCTCCTTCTTCTCTCTGTTGTGTGTCAATGTTCAATGTCAGCCATCAGTGAGTGACAAAAGCTCCGACTGACTTCAAATTTCGCGGGCTGGCGGCCGGTCGCGGACAACAGTCTGTGATTGGGTGAATGTCCGTTTAATTTGACCAATGCCTTTTCATGCAGCATAAGGGGGGGTGAGGTGCGCTCCATTTTTGTATGCTGGTGCACTGGGCGAACGGGTTTACCTTTGGAAAATGTGTGGGGGGGGTGAAAATGTGGGGGGGATGAAATCATCTTGCTGTAAAAATGGGGGTGTCAAAACACCTCCATCCCCCACGGGTGCGACGCCCCTGTGTGGTTGAGTTTTCAATTTAATACTATTACAATTTAAAACTAATAGTAGGCTATAGTGTTTCTCTTAACTGTTGATTCGGGAGATGACATTTGATAAAGTTTTTGGATGTGATGTTGTCACATGACAGCTCAGAAGCGAGAAAGATAGGGGTCCCAAAAATAACACAACTTAATAACTTCTGCAAGCAGCAGCAGGTCCAGTGGCCATCGGAGTGGAGGAGGGAGAATATAGAAAATATAGTTGGACTGATTAATCAACTTGTCAAAAAAGTTCTATTTTAATTTCATCAGACCACAGGACTTGTTTCCAAAAAGCATAAGGCTTGTTTTGATGTTCCTTTGCAAACTTCTGATGCTGAATTTTGCGGTGAGGACACAGGGAAGATTTTCTTCTGATGACTCTTCCATGAACATCATATTTGTACAGGTGTCACTACACAGTAGAACAGACAGTAGAACAGTGCATCACCATTCCAGAGGACACACCTCCTACACAGCTGTGAACCATCATGCAACTGTGAGCTTTATGTAAGCACTGTGTCACTTTGTGAATGTTTTGTCTTGAGAAAGATCTTTGGGACCGAAAGGTTAACCCTTTTTGAAATAAATCAATATAAAGGTGAAGATATGTGTGCTAGAATCACAATTTTTTTATTTAAGTCTTTTTTTTTTTTGCCATTAATGGACAGGACAGGTAAGTGTGAAGGGGGGGGGGGGGGGATGACATGCAGCGGGGGGCCACAGGCTGGATTTGAACCCAGGCAACTGTGGCAACAGCCTTGTACATGGGGCGCCTGCTCTACCACTAAGCCACCGACGCCCCTATTGAAGTCTTCTTTGACTTAACTTTTCTGGGGGACCTGATTCCCCGCACCACTTAAAGGCTCTCTAAGTCTTCTTAAGCTTGAAAAGTTTTTGTCACATACAGCAAACATCTCCTCACGATCCGCTAGCTACATGTCCTCTGAATATGCTGTGAAAAAGTCCAGTCTCTGTAGGCAGCCCAGGCTCTGCAAATGGCAACAAAAACACTTCACTTCTGTTTACGTTCAACAATGTTATCAAACACAATGGAGCTAGCTCACCTTTTAGTCTCATTGTAGCCTGTAGCTCTAACTACCTCTCTGGGCACCACGTTCACGTGTGCGCGCTTGCACGAGGCCGTGAGACATGGGCAACACGTTCATGTGTGTGTGCTTGCTTTTGCTGGTCTCGCGCTGGCTGGTTGGTGCAGCCTGGGCCCAAATGTTTTTGTTGCCATTTGCATATGGTACACTTTTATGAGGACAATAACCTCATATTATCTAGCCAGGTGCTTTTACCTGCAAATAGCTATGCTTATTTAAGTGAAGCCTGGAACACAACATCTTGGCTTGATCATTGCATCTGCACTGCAGATGCACATGATATTTTACTTTCAATTGAAGTTGTCTATGAGGCATCCATATCAGACCATGTCCCTGTTGTCTTGTCACTAGATGTTGACAGTCTCCCTGAGATGTCTCATGAGGTTTATAATACATATATGGGGAAAGTAGATTGGGCTAAACTCTCTTATGAGGATGTTGTGGCATATTATGGGAGATCTGATGACCATTTGAGTCATGTATATTTGCCTTATGATGCTATCTTGTGTTCTGATGTTAACTGTAATATAACTGCTCATGGCAAAGACCTGTGTACTATGTATGATTGTATTGTGGGGGCTTTGTATGAAGCCAGTAGATCCTTCTTAACTCTCTAAGAAACATTGGGTTAAACCAGGGTGGAGTAAGCATGTGGCAGCACACCATATGGAGGCCAAGAGGGCCTTTAAGGCGTGGGACCTCGCTGGTCGGCCCAGACAAGGACCTATCCTGGACCACAAAAAACTCACTAGTGCCAGATATAAATACGCAGTACGTTATGTAACCAAACATGAACAAGCTATCAGAGCATACTCTATGGCTGAAAAGCTCATTGGGCAGAATGTAACTATGGGGTGCTGTTTGTAAAGTGGCTCACGCTGAAAATAACATCAACATTTTGCCACATTTAGCTTCAAACAATGTTTAAAAAAGTGTTGTGAATTTCTTAACGTCACCTTTTACCACATTTACAGCAATATTTGTTAACTTAGAAATATATTAAATAGTTAAATCTAAATATTAAATGTGGCACCTAAATGTTAAATGTTAAATCTAAATATTAAATCTAAATGTTAAATCTAAATGCTAAATCTAAATCTAAATGTTAAATCTAAATATTAAATCTAAATCTAAATCTTAAATTTAAATGCTAAATCTAAATATTAAATTTAAGTTACTTACTGAGAAGAGTTTTGCAAAAAAAAAAAAAAA